TTTGATTTGTGACCGACAAATGAGTTGTGGCCAATAATATTTTTAATTTTGTAACCAATCAATGAATTGTGAACTATGAAATCTTCGATTTGTGATCGAGAAATAATTTGTGACCTATAGAATCTTTTATTTGTGACTTATGAATAATGTGTAACCAATTAATTCGATAAGTTATGATCAAATTATATAGATTTGTGTTTTAATATGCTTAATTAATAAATTATTTCATAAATAAATTTTAATAATATCTGATTTTTGAAATTGTAAACTTTCTTTTCTTAGTTTTGAAATAGGCTATAATTAAACTCTTAAAAGTGAATGTTTCCCAACTTTTTATTTGGATATAGGTGAATTAAATAGTATGTTCACTAGGAGAGAAAATGCGTATTACTTTTATAGTAGACCATTCAAGATACATGTCTATTTATTTGATGAAACAACAATATGAAAATTTTCATTTGTTTAAAATTTATAAAAGTGAAGTTGAAAAACACTTAAACAAGAAAATAAAAATAATTAGAAGTGATAGATGTAGTGATATTTCTCTAGTGATTTTCATTCACTTTGTGAACAAAAGAAATAGAATATCAATATTCAGCACCTAGAATACTCCAACAAAATGTTGTTGATGAAAGAAAAAATAAAACATTAATTGAAATGATAAATGTCATAATAATATATGTTGGGTTGTCATTTAACTTATGGGTAAACCATTGTTAAGTACGTATAGAATCTTATATAGAATTTCTTTAAAATTCACAAAGATTTCTCTTTTTGAATTATGGAATAGAAGAGAACTAAACATATAATAGTTTAAAGCAATGTTATCAAAACCCGCCTAACCCAACCGGTTTGACCAATAAAATTGGACCAAAAAGGGGCTAATCATGCTCAGTTAACCCATTATGATAAAACTGCTTAAAACACAGTGAATCGGTCGGTTTAACCGTAAACCAATGATCTGATCACATTTTTGTGATTTTTCCAAAAAAAAATTTCATAGTTAAGGCTAGTAGAGAAATATTGGATGTCGTGCTCTTTTTATAGATATATTTCTTTCAAATGGTTTTATAAACTTTAAATGTAGAATAGTGACTTTTATAGATACACTTCTATCCAATGGTTTCATAAATTTTTAACGTGGAATAGTGGCATAACAAAAAATTGTTAAAATGCTCATCATAATCATTTTCAAAATATATGTCTAATTGACTAATTTAATTTTGAATCCAAACTAACTAAATTGTAATTTCCACCTTCATTTTCTTCATTTATTTAGTTTTCAAATTTAACTTAAATTGCACTTGATTATTAATATATTAATGTTAGATATTATTTTCTATAAGTTTAAACTATTTTAGTTAACAAAGCAAGCTATTTTAACTTGTTGATTTTTAATTTTTGAAAAATGAAGACTAATTGTAGGATAATGAATCTAATCAACAAAGATAGATTTACTTGAATTATTAATATGAAATTTAAAAAAAAAATTTATTGCTTTCATAGTATTTTATTATTTTTGTATGTATTTATTGCATCTGGATTGATCCCGATTTGACCCCGGTTAAACCTTTTGACCCTTGAATTTTCACTTTTTTTTGGTTGATGACCAGGTCGATTTTCAAAATATTGCTTTAAAGTATTTGAGTGTCTTGCTCATTATAAGAATACAAGCCCATAAAGGATCAAGTTGGGTCTAAAAAGTATCAAATGTGCTTTGTTGAATATACTAGTAATAACATCTAGTATAGATTACTAAACTTGGAGACCAATGTGATAATTAAATCAAGTGACATGGAGTTCTTTGAGAATTTATTATGTTCGAAAAATGACTTAAGGATAACTCATATAGAGTTTCCTAACTCTAGATGAACACGAGGAAACTTCTCCTAAAGATGATAATGAATCTCGAAAAAACAAAAGAAAGAAGAAAAAAAAGATATTAAGATCGAATGAAACAGATTCTCAACTCATTTCACTTTACTTCGTAGAGAGAAATGAGAAGAATGTTGTTATAACAATAACATTATTCTACAAGAGAAAGTTAATCCTAAGACCTACAAAGAAGCTATGACTTCTCGTGATAGTATTTTTTAGAAAGATGCAATTAAAGATAAAACGAATTCAATTATATTAAACAATACTTGAGAACTTGTCAATTTACTACCCGGATCTAAATTTATTTTTTATAAATGGATGTTTAGGAGAAAATACAATGTAGGCGGTTCTTTTAACACCTTTAAAGTTAGATTAGTAGTTAAAAGTTATCGACAACATGAAATAATTGATTATATTTATACCCAAGCATTGGTAGCTAGAATAATATCAATTGAGATATTATTCGCATTAGCATCCATATATGACTTACATGCTTATCAAAATGGATGTCAAAACGACATTCTTAAATGATGATGTCGATGAGGAGGTTTATATAGAACAATTAGAAGGGCTTGTTTTACCCGATAATCAACATAAAGTATGCAAGTTACTAAAATCATTATATAGGTTAAAATAAAGACAAAACAAATGACATGAAAATTTTGACTTATCAATTATTTCTTTTGGTTTCATATATAATAGTGCAATTAAGTCTTTATATTTTAAAGTATGTGACAAATATATTGTATTTATATGCTTGTATATCAATGACATGTTGATCAGATGGACGAAATAAAAGAAACAAAAAGGTTTCTATCTTCTATATTCAATATGAAGGATTTTGGACAAGTGAATACCATATTGGATATAAAAGTTACGAAAACTAGTGGGGTCTATTATTTAAATAAATCACATTACATTAAGAATATGATAAATGAGTTCATTCATTTGAACTTAAAAGAATTTACTACCCCTCTTGATCCAAATTTTGAAATTATAAAGATTGATGGAAAAGCGATTGCTCAACTAGAACATGTGAGTGCTATAAGTAGTCTCTTATATATATAGTTAAATGCACAAAATTGGATATAGCATTGCAGTTAGTAAACTAATTAGGTTGCAGTGAGTAAACTAAGTAAGTTTACTAGTAATTTATTAGTAATTCAAGCAAGACACATTGGAAGGTCATTGGAAAAGTTTTTGGTTATTTAAAAAAAAATTCTAAAACTTAGGCTTACAATATTCTAAATTTTCAACTATAATAGAAGGATTTATTAATACTAGCTTGATTCTAGCACAAACAAAAGTAAATACACTCCACGTTAGGTTATTACTCTTAGAAGATGTGCAGTTTCTTGGAAGTCTAAGAAACTATCATGCATAACACATTCAACCATAAAATAAGCAAAAAGTTTTTTTACGCATTTGCATCGCCTAATCAAGCCTACCCCTTAGCTTAGGGTCAATACATCGCCACGCATTACGCCTTTTAGAATACTGCATGTGTCAAACCAATCAAGTCGGTTCGATTTGATTTGATTGATTTAGTCAGTTTATTATTATTATTATTATTATTATTATTATTATTATTATTATTATTATTATTTTGTTCAAGCCTACTTTCAATAACCTAAAGTTTTTATTGTGCATTATCTTCTTCCTAGACTTTTCCACAATGGCATACAAAAAGAGAGAAACTTCGAGATATGTTCGAATTGTAGTGGCTAAAACTATGTCCATAAGTAGGGTAACTAGTAGTTACCCATATTGTAATATATAATATTGAAAATTATTTAAAAATATATATTGTTCACTAAATAGAATCTTGGTAATTAGCACAAAATATTCATACCTTTCAATGGTATTTTGAAAAAGTCTCTACGTTTCATTTTTTGACATTTTCTCTCCTATTTTCACATTTCATTGCGGAAAATGTCCTCTTCTCAATAAAAAAAAAATATAAAATGACAAATATATACTCTTATTTTAAGTAAAACTAAAATTAAATTAAACTAAAATTAAAAAATTTGTAATTATACTCCCAAACTTTTTAAAAAACTGCAAATGAGTTAAAATGTTAATTAGCAAAAAGTCCACACCTTTTCATATTATTGTACAAAACGTCCATGCCTTTCATTTTTTTGACATTTTCATCCTTATTTTCATATTACATTGCAAAAATCATCATTTTCATTAAGTTTCTCAATTAAAAGCTATAAAATGACGAATATACCCTCCTTTTTAAATTAAAAAAATAAAGAACAAATTGCAATTATACTCCCAAATTTTTCAAAAAAGTATAAATAAATTTCAAATAAATAATTAAAAAAGAAATATTCTTTATTCTTTATTTTTGTTTTATTTAAAATGAGGGTATATTTGTCATTTTACATTTTTAACTAAGAAAATGGATAGAAATTATGATTTCAACAATGAAATGTGAAAATAAGGGTGAAAATGTCAAAAGAAAACGTAGGAACATTTTACATAATAATATTAAGAGGTAAGGATGTTTTGTGCTAATTACTCTTTAATAACTTATTTGGACTCATTTGCAGTTTTTTTAAAAGTTTGGGAGTATAATTGCAATTTGTTATTTAATTTTTCTTTTTTTTTTGTTTTATTTAAATGGGAAGGTATATTTATCATTTTACATTTTTTATTGAAAAAATGATATTTTTCGCAATGAAATGTGAAAAGAAGGTAAAAATGTCAAAAAATAAAAGTTATGAACGTTTTGCATAATAATATTGAAAGGTAGAGATGTTTTATGCTAATTATCCTAGAATCTTTATATAATAAATGACACTAAACATGTTTAAAAGAACTACATAATATTTAATGTCAACAAGGATCATACTTATGCAAGTGCCATAACAAAAAAACATGCCAACACAAAACAAAATATTTGCAAGTTGATTACTCATTACAGCCCTAATTTTCCGTGTATTATTTACAATTTGCATGTTGATGATATGACGTTAGTCTATCCATCTAAAAAGGAAAATCTTTAAGTATGGGGATTGTTTCACGGAATTCCTACATGTGTTGCACCTAATTTGCAAACAATTTTTTATTTTTATTTTTTGTCATGTACCAATCAGTCTGTGCCATATGGAATCTCGTAAAGTTCCAGTGAAAATTTCCTTGTACCTGTAGCATTGTTGATCTAAAAATGAGTAGCCAGATTAAAATATTGGCATCATAGTGTCGACATCTTACTTCCCTCTGATATTTAGGAAAGTTAGCTTTCCATCTCATATCTATTTGAATTTTCAACGTTGGATGTACCCTATATTACAAGGGGGAAAATGTAGACCTTTCTCCTGAGATACAATCTCACCGTAAAGAAAATAATAATAATAGTAATAAATATATATATATACACACACACACACACACAAAGGCTACTCGATTGTCGTTTCAAGAAGAAACTTCTGGAGTGAGTAAATCTTTAGTCCTCCTCTGCATGCTAATTAACACATTATGCCAAGGGTTAACCCTTGAAGGAGCCCTATTACTTAACCCCACATTCATTTCCACCAAATCCTCAGTTTTCACACTCAAAACCTCCTCAGGAACTGCACCATCAAGCAACCAAATCAGGCAAGAACTGAACCCTTTTGTAATCTCTGAATCGCTGTCAATTCTAAATCTCATCACCCCACTATTATCCATCTTCACCTCCACCCAGACCTGCGCTGTGCACCCCTTGATTTGGTTTTCTTGAATTCTCAAAGACTCGTCGAATGGAGGCAGGAGAGTTGCATAGTGTAATAATCTTTTGACTCTTTCGACGGGTTCGGATAACGACTTGAACTCTGAATTTAAAACATATGCCTTCTCGGCTATGTTTAGGGTGTGCAGATCCGGTGGTTTATTTGCTGTTAAGAAAGAAACTGATAGATTATTGGGTTTCGGAATTCTTGACCTTGATTTAGCTGATCTGTGAGAAATACATTTTATCCAAGGAGTGAAAATTTGTGGGTTTTGGGCGTAATCTTTTGCGGGATTTATTTGGATGTTAGTTGGTTTTCTGAAGAAAGAAGGCGGAGATGGAGAAAATGGTTTGAGGGTAATACAGTGCATGTTTCACAAGAGAAGACAGTTTGATCAAAGTAAGTTTGAATAATGGGGTGGGAGTGGGTTGAAATTTATAGAGAAAGAAATAAGTATCTTAAGTACGAGTTAGAACATGATTATTATTGATCAAAGACTTGTAATTTGAAAATATAGGCCCCATTTGGCCTCCATTTTTTTCAAGTTTAAATGTTTGCAATAATGTTTTTTTTTAAGAACGTGTAGTTGAGAAAAAATGTTCGATTAACATGTAATATTATTTTATGAAAAATTTTGTGGTTGAAAATAAGAAAGAGAAAAAAAATGAAAGAGAATGAGAACCAAATGGGATGTTTTAGTAAATACCTCACGATACACGTGATTAGAAGAAGGCATGTTCCAGTGGTGTAAAGGATATGAGTGAGATAGTCTCAATCTTGTTGACAGTCGCAGTGTGAGGATTCGATTCCTGAGATTTGAAATTGGACTCTTTGTGGGCACCAGTGTACAGTCAAGTTCTTGTTCTCTAGCCTGTTGTGGCACTTTTCTCGATTTACCTCCCTCATGATGCTCCGGGGACAGGGCGATGGGGGCCATCAAAGTTGGGGTTCAACCTTTTAGAAGAAGCTTGATGCGATAGAAATATATATTCAGTCCATGTTTGATAGGAATTAAAATCTAAATTTTAATCAAAGTCAAAGTCAACAATTAATTTTAACAAAATATTTTATCAATTTTTATCTAAATCTACTAAAAATTTGCTTTTGATTCCCACCAAACATGAACTTATTTAAGGGCCGTTTGGTAGGAATTTTGAGAATTGATTTTTTTATCGTTAGAAGAAAAGTGGGGTCCGCATGTGAAAGAAGAAGTCAAAAATTACGGCTTGAATAGTAAAATAACGGTCAAAAAATCAATTTTTTGGAGCAAAAAATCCCTATCGAACGGGGCCTTAATATATGGATACCAACTTGTAGTTTTAGATAAACACTTCTTCTTCTTTTTTTCTTTTTCCTTTTTTAACATAATAGAGGATGAAAATTGTATACTCGTTTTATAAATCAATTCATATGATTTATTGTGTTATTGAGGCGTGAACAATTTTCTACACTACGTATATCATTCTCTTTCTATAGAGTTGCTATAGAGTTTTCGGCTGAAGAAATTAGTGTCTTTTTCTTAAAGAAAGAGTTGGTAAGCAGATGTACACGCCACACATTCAAATGGGATGTCCATATGATATAGATATACAATAAATTTGTATGGTTCATAAAGTCAAAGTTTCATAATTTTCAACTAATGTACAGCGAAATTATTACTACAATCAATTAGTCGAATAATGCTCCTTGAACACGGGCTTTTGACAAGGTGGGGGTGATAACTGATAGGTACTGTGTGGGGGCTTCCATTTGAGTGATTTTTTTTTAAAAGATCAAATCATGTGTCGTCACGTGTTTTTTCAATGTTTGAACATGACACTACAGCAATATTATAATTAGATTAGCAGCTTGTTTGGGAGCGATTTTTGGCCTCAAAAAATTGATTTTTGATCATTATTTTACTATTACAGCCGTTATATTTGATTTCTTCTTTTACAGGTGGACTCCACTTTTCTCCTAACAGTCAAAAAATCAATTATCAAAATCACTCCCAATCAGGCTCTAGGTTCATTAGGCGGTACAAAATGGATTAAAAATTAAAGACGAGTGATATAATCATATTATCTACCGTAGATATATTTAGTACATTAAATTGAACCATTAGTAACTTACTAATATAACAATTAGTCACCTTAATTTGACACAAAAATCAACTAAATTAAGGGCTTGTTGGATAATGAATTTGAGAACCAATTTTTTGACCGTTAAAGAGAAGTGAGTTCCACTTATAATGAATAAGTCAAAAATGACAATCGACTTAGGAAAGTAATGATCAAAAATTGATTGTTTTGTGGTGAAAAATCATAGTCAAACGGGCTAAATTGATCCATGTGATTTGTTTTGTTCTAAAAGTGGAAAAACTCTACCTTTTAACAGTAGGGTGAGAGAATAATTTTATATTTATTTTTTAGCCTATGTTTAATTTAGCTAAAAATTGATAAAAATTGTGGGTTTATGAGATGTGTAGTTAAAATAAATTGTTGACATTTTCTTGATCTTAATTTTTTATCAATTTTTAACTAAACCAAATGGGGGCATATTACTTTAAGTGCTGTGATGTGTTGGATACACTCAATTGAATAAAATTACTTACAACAATTGTTACGAATTTTGTTTCCTTGATCTTGTTTAGAACATATTTGTCTAATCTTAACAACTTAAATCATAATTACATTTAAATAAAAGATATTTTTACTTATTTATGTAAATAAATATGAGGCCTTAATTTCTTTTTCCGTGTAAATACGTGCAAGGAAAGAAATTTGTAGATTTTGACTCGCAAGGAAGTAGAAGAATGTTGGACATAATATTGTTAAAAATAATAGACAAAGAATAAAAGCTTAGCTGCGATTTCTTTGGAGTGGACGAAAGAAATACTTTTATTTATTTTCAAGCTATAGGTTGCTTCAATTTAAAGGCAAAAATCATCATAAAGTATCTTGAATCATCTCTCGAAAATTATCGAAATGATTATCCATATATGTTAACAAGCACTTTCGACTTGTAACAAAAAAAACGTTTAAAGAATCAATATTCACGGTAATCCATTTTTCATGCTTACAATTGAACCAATTTTTCATCATAAGTAGTCATCTCAAAATCGCTCCAATAAAATTCTCTCGAAAGGTACCTTCATAAATGTTTTGAATAAAACTCAACTTTAAATGAGAAAGCTTTTATAAGAGAAATGTGGACTTTGAAGTAATGGTTATAAACTTATTATTTACCTTGTAGTTAATGTCTTGTTTAATCTTTATCCTATATTTAAATGAATGCATGTTTCCCATTTATCAAAATTATAGTAAATCCAATTTTGTTTTAAAAATTAAAGAAACATCTTTGTCTCTATAAATTTTGCATTTTTCCATTTTCTCTCGTGATAAATAGTAAAATTATATTTTATTTATAAATTGTAACATTCAATATGTTCGTAAAAATTTACTTATCAATTTGTTCTTAGAAAGGAATAAGATTGAATAAAAAAGTCAAGTTGATAGAGGAAAATAAAAAATAAATAAGTTCAATTCTTATTCAATGTTATTCTTTATTGTATTTTTGGTATTATTACAAGAATATTTTAAACCTAATATGATATAACTATTGAAATCGAAGTCTAACTCAAGTGGTAAGAGTGAATTCTTACCATGTAAATATATAATTTTATTCAGACATTATTAGATAAATTTAATTATATTAATTAGCTAAAAGTAATGTTCGCATTTAATTAATAAATATTAAGATATGAGGGGCAAAAAAAAAAGTAGAATATTTGTACTTAAGGGTGAAATAGGACCTAAAAATTAAAATATTATTTTCGACTAAGAAAATTCGTTATGAAAAACAAACTCTATGGGACGTTTCTATAATTTTAAAACATGGGTATCTTCACATTTGTCATAAACTTCGGGAACATTTTTCATTTGGAGAATTTGTGCAAAGGGCTCCTCACCTATGGGTTTGCTTGGTAAATGGTCCATACTTTTCACTTCATGCCACAATTGATCTCTTGGATGGTTTACATCTTATTGAGTTTTAAAAAAGTCAAAATGGTTTACATCTTATTGAGTGTTAAAAAGTCAAACTTTTGATATAGAGACTAATTTACCCTACTTAAGTAAAATAAAAAAAAATTAAATCAGTAAAAAAGAGAAATTAAAAAATTAAGATAAAAAGAAAAGTCAACTCATTGTATCATTGAATTTCCCACGAGAGCATCTCGTATGCAACTATGGATTTTTTTAAAAAATTGTGTCATATAAGCAAAAAAAAAAATAAAAAAAAAATGTGTTTATTCCATTCCAATGCAAGTCGATAGCACTTTGTCAAGGACTCAAGATATGACAAAAAACATAGATATTTTTATAGTTCCGACTAGATTCAAAAGTTCTATTAGGGTTATTAACTCGATAAAATTTATGTTTTATATGTAAATTTAAATGTATTTTTGTTATTATTTCAAAAATATAAAAGACTCATAGATTGCGAGCTACAACATTTGAAAATAATATTGACCTTGAGTATCTACTAATTAGAAATCAATATCATATAGATTGAAAGTATTTCAATATCTATTTTTCTGACACATCATCTTTAAAGAGTTTCTATCAGCTTGCATTAGAGGTGAATATTTTAAATACCTTCCATTTCGCTTATATGATACAATTTTTAAATTAATTCACTATTGTATTGGAGATAGTTTTAAGATAGATTTGTTATTCAACTTGACGAGCAAATTTTTTTATGAATTACCAGACTCGTAGCATCGTTGCACTTATTTTTTATTTTTATTTTTTTGGTGCCAAACTATTGTTGATTTTTAACTTTTATTTCATCATCAGATTCTCAGTAGAGAAGAAAATGCAATTATTTTTCAGTGATTGTCAATATATATGATTTAACCTTATATAAACAATTCATGAAGCTTTGATTCGTTTTCACTAATTGATCTAATCTCTGATTTTTCTCATAAACGGATGCAGCAAATAAGCGATTTTGCCCTTCCTAAACTTGCATAATTTCCAACAAGGGTAATTGGCACAAAACGTCCATAACTTTCATGTCTATTGTGGAAAACGTTCATATTTTTCATTTTTTTGACATTTTTGCCCCTATTTCCATCTTTCTTGGCGCTAAACTTCATTTTCACCAATTTTGGATAATTTTATCCTCTATTCAAATAAAACAAAAAGAAATGAAATGAAACAACAAATAATTAATTGCAATCACAGTCCCCAATTTTTAAAAAATTACAAATGACATTCAGTTTCTGTTCATTCTTCTTCAAGTGTGTGAAGACACCATTTGACCCCAAAATTTGGCAAACGAGTGTTGTAATTTCTAAAATTGAACGATTACCCAGTGTTTTTTGGGCTTGAATTTAGTTTTCCCAAGTTGATTCATATGTTGGGACACATTAGACTCACGAATTGATGGAGAATTATCCTTTTCGCGCGGCTGCACATTCCGTGAGGTCAAATCCAAAATTGTTACATTTGGCTGATGAATTGAAGTAATTAAATATATATCCAGTGTCGTTTGACCTTCAATTGCATGCTGATTGATGAAATTTGTAGCTCTCGTTTGACCCCCATTATCTGAAAATGAAAATGGGGGTAATACTATTTTTTAGAAAAATGAGTAGTTGAAAAAGAAGGAAAAATTTTCGATTTACGTGTAATATTATTTTATAGAAGATTGTGTGGTTGAAAATAGAAGAGAAAAAAATGGAATGTAATGTAATTGAATTTAATGAGGATCAAACAGGGGCATAGATTGGAGTCGTGGAAGGATGACAATTGAAAGGGAATCGAACCGATTTCTATGCTTGTTCAATATTTTATGAACGAACAGTCATTTCAACGCCAAATTGGGGAAGACCCATTTGCTCAGTAGATGCGCCATGATAAGTAGTGTCCTGTGGTGGTGGTCAGCGATCGTGGGTCCCACCACCGTCTTCGAAAAATGGCTTTGTTGGCTGCGGGTTCGCTAACTCGAAAATTGGCTATAGATCTCGATTTTTTTGGTTGTTTGTTGTAATTGGAACATGTATGGATGCGTCTTGGTGAGATTGAGCAGCCTGTGGGTTGTATGGAACATGGGCATCCATGGATTTGGTCGAATTTGGAATAATACCATGCGTGAGAGGCGATTTTTGGACAACATTTGACTCAATTTTACTAGGATTTGGGGCTAGAATTTGTGTGGAGATGTTAGGGTTGATGAGGAGATGGTGGTAGTGTTAAAATCCGGTGGCCTTGGTGGCCGGAAATTGGGTTTCATGATTGTTGGCACCTATGTTGAGAATTTTGTATATATTTGTGATTGATTTGTAATTTTTTAAAAATTAGGGGTTGTGGTTACAATTAATTATTTGTTGTTTCCTTTCTATTCTTTTTGTTTTATTTGAATGAGGGGTAAAATTGTCCAAAATTGGTGAAAATGAAGTTCAACACCAAGAAAGGTTGAAATAGGGGCAAAAATGTCAAAAATAAAAAGTATGGACGTTTTCCACAATAGACATGTAAAGTAGAGACGTTTTGTGCCAGTTATCCTTTCCAACAATATCTGAAAATGGTAATATGGAATAAAAAAAATTTTCTAAGTAATTTCGCACTACTCTGACTTTTAATTGACCTGTCTTTCATTCTTTTGATCTTTTTCTTTATGACATCTTCAACTGACTTTTAATTAACCTGTCTTTCTTTCTTTTGTTCCTTTTTATCCCCTTTGTGATGCCTTCAACTGATCTACGATTGCCCTTACTTCCAATTGCACGTTGCTTTGATTCTATAATATCTTTGGTTGTCTTTAAAAAGTATTTTCTAAAAATTAAGTTAAGATTTATTTTATAAAAATTAAGTTTTGTTAGTAAAGAAAAATAACTCAAACATTAAGAGAAATGAAACAAAATAATAGGCTAAAGATTTTTTTTAAAAAATTAAGTTTTCTTAGCACAAAACGTCCATACGTTTAACACTTCTTGTGGAGAACGTCCCTACGTTTCATTTATTTACATTTTCGTCCTTATTTTAACGTTTCATTGCAGAAAACGTTATTTTCATCATTTTTTAATGTAAAACAATCAAACTACCCTCATATTTAAATAAAACCAAAAAAAAAGAAAAGAAAAATAAAGAATAAATTACAATATTACTCCTAAATATTTTAAAAAGTGAAAGTGAGTCCAAATAATCATTAAAATGCCTAATAGCACAAAACGTCCCTACGTTTGACCTGTAGTGTGCAAAACGTCTCTACGTTTCAAATTGGTAAAAAAAAAGATGTTTTTCACAATTAAACGTGGAAATAAGGATGAAAACACAAAAAAAAAAAAAAATTGAAACGTATGAATGGTTTCTGCAAGAAGCGTCAAACATAAGGACGTTTTGTGTTATTAGACCTTATTAAAATATTAAAAAACTCTCTCTCTCTCTCTCTCTCTCTCCTCTTCTTCTCCAAAAGGGCCAGCCACCTTAGAAGCTAAAAACTCCAACAAATGATCGCCCAAACAGCTGGATCATTATATCTCCTAAAAAGCAGTCACTTCCTTCTACACATGCCATCCAACATCCAACTTTGAAACTTTCGTGTCAATAGATTTGTTTGGAATCACAAGCCAAAATACCCAACTTACGAATGCAAATACTGACAGTACCACCTATTTTTCGGAGAGACCCATGCCATTTTCAATACACAAATTGACTATACCCACCATGACGCCTCTTTTCATAATCTTAAAACATTAACAAATGGTTCAATGGTATAGAGATTTTGCGGTTTGGACGATGGTTGGTCGGAATTTTTTCACTTCTAACGTGACAGTCCCATTTGGAGAAGAAAAGAAGAGAGAGAAAATTTTTTATTTATTTATTTTTGTTATGTTTAATAATTTGATAAGGCCTAATAGCACGAAATGTTCCTACGTTTCAATTTTTTTTTTTTTTTTTTGCTTTTTCATCCTTATTTTCATGTTTCATTGTGGAAAACATTATTTTCACTAATTTGAAACGTGGGGATATTTTGCACACTATAGGCCAAACGTTGGAACGTTTTGTGCTATTAGGCATTTTAATAATTATTTAGATTCACTTGCACTTTTTAAAATATTTAGAAGTAAGATTGTAATTTATTCTTTATTTTTCTTTTATTTTTTTGTGATTTTATCTAAATAGGAAGGTATTTTGATCATTTTACATTAAAAATGGTGAAAATAATGTTTTCTGCAATAAAACATTGAAATAATAATAAAAATTCAAAAAAAAAAAGATTGTAAATCTAGGTTTTGTGGCCACTTATTACCCTATAATCAACCCACTTGGCATTTATCATCACCATACACTTAGACAATAGACTAAACATGTGTAAAAAAAAGGAAAAAAAAAAGAAAAAGAAAAATGTCTTTCAATCCATATTATTTCTCTTCTCCATGATACAAACAAAAAAATAATAATATTTTTTTTTCTCTCTTCAAAATATTATTATTATTCTCTTTATTTTTATTTCTTTTTTTCCCCTCCTTTTTCGCCATTTTCTATGAATAAATCAATCTTTAAATAAAAAGAAAAATTTTATAAAAAATTAATTGTTGATGATATTGAACATCTAAAATTTCGTTTTTTGTTAAAGACTATTGAAATATTTAATATTTTTGTAATTTAATTGGTAGTTTTTGTCTAATTGAGGTAATTTATATTTTTAAAAAATATTTTTATTAACATTAAAAATATATTTATGTTATTGTGTGTTTTGGATCATATAAGCAGCGATTCAAAATAGTATCATATTGTAGTGAATAAAAAAAAAAATGATACAGAAATGCAACTTTATAGTTAATATACAAACTTCTCTTTTCTTTTTAATGAGTTAAAGTAAAAGTCAATACAACTTTCATCAAAAGCTATCGAAAATAAGTAATTTATAAGTATTACTTTTTTAGACCACACGCACATCAAAGTTTACATAAAGAATTCAATAATGCTACTCAAACGGGGATTACAAACATGTGCTGAGTTGTCAACACTTGTATATATGTATATTTTTTTGAACTGTCCAATGTGTTGCGTCACGCATCTTCCTGTTTTTAAAGAATATGCAAGTTATGTTGTTCATAACGATATCCACCCCTATGGAGAGAATTCGCTTCGAAACCCTAGACCTGGAGTCCATGTGAGGGGAATGACACCCTATTTTTAAACCCTATCATTGAATCTGTACGTTCTGTTATTTGCTAATTTAAAATATAAGATTTGTTCGGTAGTGATTATGAGAATTGATTTTTTTATTGTTAGAAAGAAAAGTGAGTTTCACCTATGAGTAAAGATGTAAAAAATGACGAATGAAATAGTGAAATAACGATTAAAAAATTAATTTTTTTAAATAAAAAATTGCTACCAAGTATAAGCATAGTCATTATTTTCCTCCAATTTTTTCCGTTCATGTTATTTGTCCATATCTAGTATCATGCCCTTGTTTGAGTCCCCTTTTTTTGGGAAAAATGAATTTTTGAATTGTTGGGTTTGAAGTAGTCAAAAGTTTATTTAGTTAATAAATCCTATTATTTAGGACATGTAGGCAGAGTCTGACCATTTCCTTAGCCATTTACCACGTTATTAGGACCTGTAAAACGTGGGTTGTTTGTTTCCAATCTCTTTGTAAGACTTATATAAGCCATCAACTTGTTTTGAATAAAACTGAAATTCAGATATTTTTCTGAAATTGCTTTGTGCTTAGAGTTTACAACATGAATAGTATATTGATAAAAAATATATAGTTAAAAAATAAAGAAAAATTTTAGATTTATGTGTGATATTATTTTATTGAAAAATATGTGATTGAAATAATGTTAAATCACTTTTAAAAAATATATTTTCCCAAGAATGAGGCTCAAGGGCCAAGGGCCATGTATGTGACAAAATCCCACCCACTGGGCAGTGGCTAAAGGTTTTAAGCCTTTTAAGGAGCCGATGCCTCCAGCGAAAACTTCAGAAATCCCTCGCTCAACACACGCACACACAGTGAGTTATTGCATGTGATGGAGAGCATTAAGAGGGTTCGACTGGTATTCAAAGATGACGATGTTTTGAGCGAAATCCAGAAATCGGAGGGACTGAATCGAAGCTGGGTTTTACTGAATATCAATCAGCAGAATACCATTTCTGACGTCGTTTCTCATCTCCTTCACGCTTTTCAAATTCAACATTCGTGCCCCCATGGGCTCCTCCTCTCTGTAATCCCGCCCTCATCCCCTGTTCTTTTATGCGTACACACATGTATAATCAAAACCGATATGCGTATGTGTACTTGAGATTAATGCAAATAATGGAAAAATGCTTTGTGGGAGCAATTTATATGATCTGGGTTCTGTTTACCGACTGAAAATCTGCTGTTCATTGCACATTCTTGGGCAATTGGTATGGGTTTCTGAAAAGTTTTGCTGTATTAAGAGGGTGTTTGGGATGCGCTTTTATGTAAAAATGTATTTTTGAATAGTAAATTGATGGGAAATATGAAGTTGAAAAATAAGAAAATTTTTTTGATTTACCAATAATATTATTTTTATAATAAAGAATGTATGGTTGAAAAAAAGAGTGAGAAAAATGCATTTTGAAAAAAATGGGTACCAAATGGGCCTATATGATTCTTTTTTTATTTTTTTAAATTATTTTTTGGTTGATTTTGGCTGCTCTCCTTTTGATTATATGTACGCAAACCCATATATGCTTATGAGTGATTTATTTCGATAACAAAATAATGCCGTCTTAATGATTCATATGTTATGATCACTATTCAGTGACTGAAATATCAGGTTACTTATGCGTGTGATTATAGGTGTTTTTGTTTGATTGCTTTCTGGTACAATGCCCGTGCACAATTTTGGTTTTGTTAATTGAGTGAGTTGCAGCTTTAAAAGAAGATTTGATGGGGTTGTATATGGTAATTATAATTACTGTATAAATTCTCTATTCAATGTGCCTGATTGACTATGTATGATCACTGATCAAACAAAACAAGGTGTTTTGGTCCTTGGATCTTGGCTGATTACTTCATTTTGGTGAATAAAATAAATTTATGTAATTTGGTCAGAGTTTTTATTTAATTTTTCACTTCTTTTCTTATAGATTGATGGCTTTGTGTTGCCACCGTTTGAGTCTACCTGCATCCTAAAGGATAAAGATATAATTAGGTTAGTCCATTTAGTAATATATATATATATAATCGATTATCAAAACAAATAAAAGATGGTGGCATATCTTTTACCTTAGTGAGTTTATGGAAAAATGTGTAATTTACATACACTCTGCCTTCCGTATCAGAGTGAAGAAGAGAGGACACACTTTGGCTATAGAGGGAAACAATATTGCTACTGTGGTTGAGAAATCGAAAGCTCTGGAGAAGCAACCTGTAAATAGTGGCGTCTTGCTTTTAGCCAATGAGGATTTCGAAAAAGAAAAAGGAGGTTACGAGATTGATGAACCTGAAGAGGAGGATGAAGTGCCCGTGAAAGATTTGGAAGTTATATCAGATGGAAATGATGTTTCCAAGAAAAGAATAAGGAAAGCAGCAGAGGAATGTCAGGACACAAAGTACATGTCACTTCATAATCTATGTTACACAAGGCCTTATTACTGATACCTGCATGGTCTAATTATGATTGCACCTACTGCTTTTAATGGTCTCATGGATTATAAGACTCTTTTTTGTTTGTGAATTACAGGAAGAAGAAGAAACAATTCTCTGAGGCTCATGATAACGTTGCTTATGAAGTTCATACAGAGAAGATTATATCTCACCAGAATGGAGTCAGAACGGAAAAGAAGAGCCTTTCCAAAAAGGAAAATACATCTAATTTTATGGATACAGAAAATGTTGAAAATAATGAAGAAATGGCGAGGCAAGTTTATTTGTACTTCTTTTTCTGGAATGTTGTTTCACACCTCAATGTTTAATTATAATTGCTTTTACTCTTTTTAAAATACCAGATGTCCTAATAACGAATCATTTTGGCATGGAAAAAACACCAAAACGAACAATTTTATGTTGAAGAGAAGCTTTTGATTATTTCCTAAGTCCTTAAAATTCTGAGTTTGGACGGCAATAGAGCATATCCTGCAATGCTCTTTATTTTAAGAGGACATCTTCCAATATAAAGAGCACCTTGAGAACTGTAAGAAAAAAATTGAGACATCTTTTACAAGTTCAACAACACTCTTTATATTTATTCTTTATTTTTGCCTTTTTTAAAAATCCCATAAACAATTATGTCTCGACTCAACCTTTTCACCCTTTTTAACTAACTTCCTCGTATATTATTTTCTATTTCCCTCTATTTCTGCAACCATCTGTAGCAGTAGGCAGGAATGCTAATTAGTCTGGGGGGTATGCCTTTAGGTCTGATTCAAAGAGGCTGGGGGAACACGAAGAACACTATTCTTTATAAACAAAGAGGTACATGAAAATTTATGACATTATAAATGAAAGCATTGAAAATATTATACAGGGAATACACTCGACATTTTAGTTTTTAAGTATAGAGAGTTTGTTGGACTCCTCAAAATGAGTATTGACTCTCTAAAATAAATCCGATGGGACTAATAAAGAACCTCTGGAGATGCTTAGTATTGAGGAAATTTTCATAAAGGTTATTGAAGCCTTATTGCCTATGACCACATTATTATCCATGAAAGAACCTAAGACCTGGGTTGATTTGAGAACCTAAGACTTGGGTTGATTTGAGATTGAACTCTTTTCTCTTCCCTATTGCTTTTCCTTCTCCAAGGTTGTCTTTGATACACCTTTGGGTCCACCTTTTTCTTTTTTAATAGTAATATCCTCATAACTGCAGTTTGAGAGAAAGGACTCTATGAAATCTTACCTCTGAAATTAGGCAGTTTTTATTTTAGACAGCTAATTGTTATGCAAAATTAGTTCACACATCTAAATCTGTGCACATATTTTGGTAGGGGTTGTCTCTGTCAGTAGGTTTTTGAACTTTCTTATGCCTCTGATGTCTGTAGAATTGAGAAGCCTAAGGAGAATGGACAAGAGACTGAGGGAAGATCACTTGCACTGGAGGAGCCTAAAAAGGTGTTTTACCAGTTTCTTCCCATTAATACACAATTTTGTGTAACATGTTGGTCTGGCATCTTGTAGACTGTCTTTTTACATATGTGTTTTTACATATTTGTTGTTACTGCTGTTCCCTGGCAAGCTAAGTGGCAGAAAGAAGGGGGGGGGGGGGGGGCTTTTCTATTACGGTATTTAATCTGTTTTAGTTTGTGAATTGCGAAGAGTTTGCATTTGTTAAAATTCATATGAAAATTGCATCAGTTTGGGAGTTTGTATTAATTAAGAATTTATATTGAAAATTTTGTAACACTTTGTTCAGCATGTACTTCTATTCTATTCTAATGCCCTTTTTGATCAACTTGGAAATTCGAGATGCTCTGAAAAAATTTGATTTATATGTAGAAGTTCAGGTTTCCGATGGCGGGGCTTACAGTGGTATCATATGGTGTTTGGCATTATCAAATGGTGTAACGTGTTCTTCTGTGGCTATATTGGCTTTTTTGGCTAGCATTTACAACAGTCAAAATAATGTTCTGATAGGTGTTCCCTATATATTTGCAGATTAGTAGAAATACTAAACGAAGGTATGCTAGTAGGAAATTGAAAAAGGAAATGCTGAAATTTCAGAAGAAAAATGAAGCTTGTGTATTGGAGGGGCCTGTAAGTTATCAAATTGTGAAAATAAAGAATTTCTCAGCGCTACTGATCTAAGTTGAATTGGAAACTGACTACCTAAAATTTTGCAGTGAAACAGGAAAAAAGGCAGGGGTAAAGCTAAATTATATGAGGTGGATTGTCTATCAAAGGGACAGGTGAGTGATCATATTCACCCATAACTTCCTTTTTGTTGACTCCATGTACAACTGGTATTGGCGCAGAACTCACTAACTCAAACTTACAGTGAAGTTGGAGAAAGGACCAAGCTAATACTGAAAGAAACGAGGTGGATGGGCAAACAAAGGGTCTGGTGAGTTTTTCAAAGAATATTTCTTTCATCAATTTGGTGGATAATTAATTTTAACATGAAATCTGAAATATGTAGCTGCGCTGGAAGCAATTGTCTGGTAGTAACACATCTAAAACATCTGAAAAATGTCAGCAACAAAGTCAAACAACTGATTTACATAAAGATCCACATCAAAATGGGGAAGTGCATGAAGAGCCAATTCAAAATGGCGAAGTGCATGAACAAGCAAATCAAAATGGCAATACGTCTGAATGGTCAAATAAACTTGGTGAGGAGGCTGAAGTTGTTCCCATTGTTGGTAAGGCCAGGACACATTCGCTTTGAACCTCTGGAGAAAGGTCCAAACTCTCTCTCCTTCCGCCTCTTGTGGTGTTCTGTGTATCTGCTATGGTCGAGAATCTTGTTTAAAGTGATCTTGGTTCGCCAATTTAGCTGATTTATAGAGGTATAGTCTACCCAAATTTAGCCAGTTGATCTGAATTTGAACAGATCTAGCTTGAGTTTCATGATTGGTCTTATTCAGTCCCCAATGTTGACTGCAGACATTAATTTAGATTCTGGGCCCTTTTCCTTTGTCTGGGACTGCTTTATTTGAACAGAAAAAATTTACTTGAAATTCCCATTAAGGAAGAAGGCCATATAGGTTCACTATCACAAAGATTGGTTGATTACTTGTAAATAATCATCGTTATTGAAACGATTTACAACATACATTTCTTCACTGTCTTGTTTTTCCTTCCTTTGGCAATTGGGAAATGATGTACCTGTTGGTCTCTAATAATTGCATGACTATTGTGTGCCATATTAAATCAGGGTTCTGAAATTTGAGATATTTTTGGGTTGATGCAGAGCATGCTGTGGAACAAAATCAAGTACCAGTGGTATGCTTCTATGTATGCATTATGATGTTGGATGTATTCTATGGCTGCATTCTTTTACATCTCTTTTCTTTTGAGGTTTATAGGTTGCAACATTGAATTTTATCGAGCATTATCATTTCTTAAGTAATATGACGACATCTAAGAGGGGGAGGTCAGGAAAGTTCATATTTTGAAGAATGTTTTAATTAAGAGGACATGTCAGATTATGACGAATAATCTTGCATTCCTATTTTTGGGGGGGTAGTGGTGACAAAGTTGTCATATACACAGAAACGAACTATTTTAAAACATGGCCTGTTACAGAAGGGATGCGATCAAGGTTTTGAGATAATGGGTACATATCAAAATGATCCTATAATTATCTCACACTCCTTTTATTGAATAAGTGAGCTCTGGGGTTTATTTAGTAAGCATAAGGTATCTGTCATTCTTGACAAAGATGAAGAAAAAGAGATAAAACCAATCCTATTTGGAATAGGATTGTCCTACATCACATAATTATCTAGGGTGATTACTATAATACCCAAATTTTTGTAAAGTAAAAATGAAAGTTCATGCTGTAATTTATTGTGATGAAGCCCTTCCCTTTTTCTACCCTTCACTTCTTTTTATTTCACTTGTCTTGGTAAATATCCAACAAGCCATCAAGTTCTTTGCCTACGTTGCTGTCGGCAGTAACATTTGCAACCTGTATATATACTGTCAATGGCTTATATAAAAGCACTATGCATATTGATTTGTATGGTCTCTTTTCCTATCTCTAGTATATTTCTGAAGGAAAACAACTCTATACTAACAAGCATGTTTGGCTAAGCTTAAAAAGTTCACTTCAAGTATATACATACAACTGGGTGAACACGTACATGGCAGCACGACGTCTATACATCTATACAAATTATTAAGAGACTCGAAGCTAAGATTGGGGGGCACGAGAACTTCTTTGTTTGAACAAAGGCCAACATAATATTATAAAAGCTTTAGGAAGAGTTTCTTCTATCTTATAACACGACACACATTGACATAGTTCAAGAATGCACGAGAAAAAGGAATAGCATGGAGTAAGTAATAATTGAAGTATAGGGTTGATCTCCTGCTCATTGTGGACAGGAGTTAAAATGTTCACTGGGTATGAGTGACACGTTATAGCTCCTGTCAACAGAGGAGATTAGATCTGAGTACAAGTATATAGGCATTGACATGACAAGAAAGCATTTACGAGTCGGTGCCTTTTATCTATAGGGGTGCAACAAGTACCTGAATGAAAGTGATAGCACTTAAGCTCTTCTCCATGAGAAAAACATGACCAACCGTCTCAGAATAGGTACGACTGTCTTCACATGTGCTATCATTACCAATCAACTGATGGATTGTTCGCTTCCACTGCACATCGTGCCCTAAACGGACGTATAAAACATCAGCACTGTAGTCGTCAAAACTCAAATGGATTATTGTCAGCAGTATAGCTGCAAGCATCATACATTGGCTCTTCTCTATTTGTCTCCGAAGATCCATCATGTTCTAAGTTGTATTCAACATCCTGTATAATTTCATCTTCTGCATGAGAAGACAAATTTGTCGAATTGGTTGAAGCATTAGATGCCTCGTCCACTTGAGGTAACATCATCCAAGGAGGAGGACTGCTTCCTCTGCGCTCTGCAAGGGAGGGTGACCTTCTAAATGACAAATTTGCCGTTCTGAAAGCACGACTACCGGAAAATGCTGCTTCTGGCGGAGGGGAAGAAACATGAAGAGGTAAAAGCGCACTTTCCTCTGAGGTACCGCTCTTAACAGGATCTTTAGACTCAAGACCAGAAGGTGAAGGCTGAGCCGATAAATATGGCAAGTCTGACCAGTTAGACGATGAGGGTGAAAAGGTAAATGAACTTGAATAATCGGAGGTTGAAGGTGATAGCAATGGGGATGTTGAACTGGATTTCGGTTTGCTCACAAGATAAGAACTAAAAGAATCCAATGAATTGAGTGAAGGAGATGGTGATGTTACAGTATCAGTAAGAGGAACGGAGTATTCCACTTTCTCCATTATCGCAACAGGGCTGCCAGTTTCGTATGTAGCAAGCGAATCAGGTGAATCGCACTGAGGACTCGAAGGCAATGGAACTTTACGTGTATCTATCACATCCCGTTTATCACTTGCTTGAGTCAAATTACAGTTCAATTTCGAAGACGTGATATATTCTTCCATAATTCCACTGGTCAACTTTCTTCTCAATCTGCTCCAACCATTTTCTCTAGCAGGTATACTTGTCTCGGAACCACTTCCTGATAATGGAAAAGGTGGAATGATCCCACCGGATAGTGCTTTGAAAAAAATTCTGAAATCTTGATCATACTCATCAACTTTCCTTTGCCCCGGACGGATCGAATGGCCAATCCTGTCCTCCTCTGTTATCTCTATACCACAAACATCTGCTAAACGATTCTGCAAGCCAAGAGCAACCCAGAATTCAGATGTTTCTTCACCTTCATTGACGGTTATAACCGGACCTTTGGCTCTTTCGTAATGGATGACTTGAGAGGCAGCTGATCTGGCTTTGTCTGATATTACTTTGAAGCAATGCTTCCCCATCCAGACGAATATCGCTGAAGGTACGTGAACAATGAAAGCTCCACGAGAATCGAGTTTTTCTGAGCCCGGCTCGCTCAACAGTTTGGGAACCAGATGAAGTGGATCATACGGAGAGTGAGGTGCCATTCGATACATACGAAGCACAGAAGATGGGCTTGCCGGCAGGGCGTGTACCCGCTTCTGGCACTGCAGAAGTTGACAGGCAAATCCCAAATTCGGGTTAGTCACTCCTCTTGCTGCTTTAACAAGCTGGAACGCGTCCTCGAAGCTTTGTCCCTCTTTCCACATAAGATAAGCAATAACCAACGAGGTTGATCGAGATACCCCTTGGCAACAGTGAACAAGGACTCGCCCACCTTGTTCTCTAACATCTTCAAAATAATCAAAAACATCATAGAAAATGCTCGTGATATCCTCAGACGGGCTGTCCTGCAGCCAAAGTGTCTTGTACACGAGCTCATTCTTGAAATATTCCGGGCAAACAAACCCGACACAGTTCAACACATGGGTTATTCCATTCTTCCGTAAAATTTCACGATTCTTTGCAACAGCGTCACTTCCTAAATATACATGATCCAAAATTCTCGAGCATTCCTTATCAAAGAACGCGAGCTTATCTTTCTTGAATTCAAATTCTCTAGGAGGGTTTTCTGAATTTGAATTTCCGCGGTGAGTCGTTGATCCAAGCCGTGCACCAGGAGTAGTAGGGGGATTCGCCCATATGCCAATATCATCCGAGCCAGCCCTCGGCCATTCCTCCCCGCTAGGCCTAGTAACCGAAAGAGGCTGAAGGGGAGGCAAACAAGCCCGAGCCTTGCTGTTCCATCGTGGCCTAGGATTTGTCTTTCCAGGTGATCGGTCACTCCACGAAACCGACCGTAAGTACGTTTTCCAACTTCCTCCGCCAGGTCCATCTTTATTCTCTTCCCCTAACATCACAACAGTTAAAACTTCCTCTGTTTAAAATCAATCATACGCATTTGAGGACTATTCTAAACATCAAAACCGATATTTCCAAGAAACCCACCCATATAAGCATAAAAACTAAAAATTAAATCCAGGCACATAAATATCAATTTTTACAAATTTCAGAGATACCCACTTGAGGATTCTTCAAGGAATACCCTCAGAAACAATCAATTTCATGACTAGTCTTCAAACATATATAATAACCACCATTCAAAATATTCTGCTTTTTTTCCCACCGAAAACCCTTGACCATAAAGATTCTTAAAGAAGAGGAGAAATCAAAAATCCAAATATGACCAAGTAAAACTCCTAACAAAGTATTCTGTTTCTGGGCACAAAGTTTCAACACAAACAACCAGAGAACATAGAAAATTTTAAGAGAGATACTTAAAAGGAAATAATATAATAGAATTTCTGTTTTCGCAGCTTGATTTTGATTATTACAACGAATACAGATTCTACTGCATCGAAACTACGTATGATCATTTCCGAAAGACAGCCAATTCAAAGGGTCCCTCCAATGAGAGAGAGCGTGTGTGTCAATAGAGAGGAAAGTATAGAGAGAGTTAATTTCATAAGTGGTCATTAAAGTGCAAGAGAAATTTGAAATTGGTTATCAAAGTATTTTTGTGACATATGTTAAAGTTACACACAATCAACTATTCCTTCAACGGCGTGTATACTAGCTTCGATAAAGACCCGTTAAACCTCGAATTCGTCTAGCAATCATTTTATCCATATCGTGATATTACTTATCTTAAGAGTAAAATGCAATTCTTAAAGGAAAGATATTTTATTACTCCTTTAAAGACATGTATGCTGGATTCGATATCAACCTGTTAAACATCGAATTTGTCTAGCAATCATTGTATCCACATCGTGATATTACTTATCTTCAAAATAAAATGCAATTCTTAAAATAAAAGACCTTTTGTTAAAAAGTTCAAATATCTCTCTTTTATCTCTAACTCGATTTTAACCATAAATAAAACGTAAAATATCACCACAAACCTAAAATAAAAGGCTAGATAAAAAGAAAGTGCTTGCTTTAAAGGCCATTAGTTCACTTGAACGACTCCTACGTCGGATATGACTTTAATCAGGTTAACGGATTGATTGAATATGTAATATTATTTAACTTTTGTGACTAAATGAGTCACAAGATTAATTTAATAACCAATTTGGAATTTTTCTTGAACTCAAGTGACTATTATTGAATTTATACATGTAGAGGTAGAGACTCACGTAAGCCAACAGAAAATGAAAACGACAAGTTGGCCATTTTTGTTGACCAGGAACAGAACTGGTCAAACTTAACACGTCTCCACGGTATGAATTCTAATTATTTAAGAATTGATTATTCATTTTAATTTAGTTTAATTTTTGCTTGGTGAGTGTTTCTTGTTTGAATAAAGTGGCATGCAATGAGACTTTGATTTATGAATTAATTATAATATTAGGAATATGGTTGTTTATATTTTATTTTGAGTTTATGCAAAATTAGTTTGAAATTTTCATACAACTTACTAATAGACTGTTCGACAAATTCTTTTATAAAAATTTTAATAGATTTTGACAAAAATTGATTATTTTTGTAGTTAATAAATTGTGAATTCCAAAAGTGAGTGACTAAAATTAATTGTTGACTTTAATTTCAATTTTTTAGTTACTCCAAACAAGTACTAGATAAGATAAATCTTCGCGCAATGAAACTAACAAGTGAAATTCACTTTTGTGTATACGGTTTTACAAAACAAACGCAACTTGTTTTTAAAGATAATAATGGTAAAATTGATCAAAAAAAAAAAAAGAATAAAAATAAAAATTTAAGACATCATGTGTGTCACATTTGTGACTTTTAGCCCCTCTTTGACTCTCATTTTGTGGAAATGAAATGGGTGGAATAATATTTTTGTAAAAAATAGATGGCTGCAACTATCTCAGGGATCAGGGAAGAAATCGTGGTCATATAAAGCTCTGAGAGGCAGTGTACTTGGCCCAACAATGGCTATTTTAAGATCGAAAAAACAGATTTGAGAAAAAGCGACAAGTTTAAGCTTTTTCACATGTTCAACTTCCAGGTTCGATTTTCTTTATTTTCTTGTAGATCTTCTGTCATGTAATTTCAATCTATCAAAGAATTTTCCTTTCCCGATAATGTTATGGGCTAAACATGTTAATTGTGCTTATTGTTAGTAGCCGTTGTTATTTCCTTTTTCTTTATACAAATTCATGAATGCGATTACTAAGATAGGCTAGAATGATATGATAATCAAATCGAATTATTAAATAAATAACTTGTAAAATTGATAAGACAAAATGCTAGTAAAATAGTGCTCTATAATTGTACTTTAAAAAACTACAACTTAGGTGCTGAATCTGAATGTACATAACATTTAATGAACCAAGAATAAGCAGAATCTTTTGTTCTCATAATTCCTATAACTTATTCCCTATAATGTCCTTAGCGCATGTCTAGTACCAGCATGTCTACTACACAGTATTGTCAAGTCTATATTAAACGAGAAAAAGGTGGGGGAGGAACTGAACCGGTTCCTCGCTTTCTTTAACTATGTCTGCAATTCCTTCCAAAGGCAAAATGCTCGAGGAACTGCAATGATTCTTCATTAACTATCTGCAATTCCACATTTGGAAGAATTTATATCAAAACCATCATATATATATATATATATAGACAGAAGCATACAACTGGGTGAACACGTACATGGCAGCACGACGTCTATACATCTATACAAATTATTAAGAGACTCGAAGCTAAGATTGGGGGGCACGAGAACTTCTTTGTTTGAACAAAGGCCAACATAATATTATAAAAGCTTTAGGAAGAGTTTCTTCTATCTTATAACACGACACACATTGACATAGTTCAAGAATGCACGAGAAAAAGGAATAGCATGGAGTAAGTAATAATTGAAGTATAGGGTTGATCTCCTGCTCATTGTGGACAGGAGTTAAAATGTTCACTGGGTATGAGTGACACGTTATAGCTCCTGTCAACAGAGGAGATTAGATCTGAGTACAAGTATATAGGCATTGACATGACAAGAAAGCATTTACGAGTCGGTGCCTTTTATCTATAGGGGTGCAACAAGTACCTGAATGAAAGTGATAGCACTTAAGCTCTTCTCCATGAGAAAAACATGACCAACCGTCTCAGAATAGGTACGACTGTCTTCACATGTGCTATCATTACCAATCAACTGATGGATTGTTCGCTTCCACTGCACATCGTGCCCTAAACGGACGTATAAAACATCAGCACTGTAGTCGTCAAAACTCAAATGGATTATTGTCAGCAGTATAGCTGCAAGCATCATACATTGGCTCTTCTCTATTTGTCTCCGAAGATCCATCATGTTCTAAGTTGTATTCAACATCCTGTATAATTTCATCTTCTGCATGAGAAGACAAATTTGTCGAATTGGTTGAAGCATTAGATGCCTCGTCCACTTGAGGTAACATCATCCAAGGAGGAGGACTGCTTCCTCTGCGCTCTGCAAGGGAGGGTGACCTTCTAAATGACAAATTTGCCGTTCTGAAAGCACGACTACCGGAAAATGCTGCTTCTGGCGGAGGGGAAGAAACATGAAGAGGTAAAAGCGCACTTTCCTCTGAGGTACCGCTCTTAACAGGATCTTTAGACTCAAGACCAGAAGGTGAAGGCTGAGCCGATAAATATGGCAAGTCTGACCAGTTAGACGATGAGGGTGAAAAGGTAAATGAACTTGAATAATCGGAGGTTGAAGGTGATAGCAATGGGGATGTTGAACTGGATTTCGGTTTGCTCACAAGATAAGAACTAAAAGAATCCAATGAATTGAGTGAAGGAGATGGTGATGTTACAGTATCAGTAAGAGGAACGGAGTATTCCACTTTCTCCATTATCGCAACAGGGCTGCCAGTTTCGTATGTAGCAAGCGAATCAGGTGAATCGCACTGAGGACTCGAAGGCAATGGAACTTTACGTGTATCTATCACATCCCGTTTATCACTTGCTTGAGTCAAATTACAGTTCAATTTCGAAGACGTGATATATTCTTCCATAATTCCACTGGTCAACTTTCTTCTCAATCTGCTCCAACCATTTTCTCTAGCAGGTATACTTGTCTCGGAACCACTTCCTGATAATGGAAAAGGTGGAATGATCCCACCGGATAGTGCTTTGAAAAAAATTCTGAAATCTTGATCATACTCATCAACTTTCCTTTGCCCCGGACGGATCGAATGGCCAATCCTGTCCTCCTCTGTTATCTCTATACCACAAACATCTGCTAAACGATTCTGCAAGCCAAGAGCAACCCAGAATTCAGATGTTTCTTCACCTTCATTGACGGTTATAACCGGACCTTTGGCTCTTTCGTAATGGATGACTTGAGAGGCAGCTGATCTGGCTTTGTCTGATATTACTTTGAAGCAATGCTTCCCCATCCAGACGAATATCGCTGAAGGTACGTGAACAATGAAAGCTCCACGAGAATCGAGTTTTTCTGAGCCCGGCTCGCTCAACAGTTTGGGAACCAGATGAAGTGGATCATACGGAGAGTGAGGTGCCATTCGATACATACGAAGCACAGAAGATGGGCTTGCCGGCAGGGCGTGTACCCGCTTCTGGCACTGCAGAAGTTGACAGGCAAATCCCAAATTCGGGTTAGTCACTCCTCTTGCTGCTTTAACAAGCTGGAACGCGTCCTCGAAGCTTTGTCCCTCTTTCCACATAAGATAAGCAATAACCAACGAGGTTGATCGAGATACCCCTTGGCAACAGTGAACAAGGACTCGCCCACCTTGTTCTCTAACATCTTCAAAATAATCAAAAACATCATAGAAAATGCTCGTGATATCCTCAGACGGGCTGTCCTGCAGCCAAAGTGTCTTGTACACGAGCTCATTCTTGAAATATTCCGGGCAAACAAACCCGACACAGTTCAACACATGGGTTATTCCATTCTTCCGTAAAATTTCACGATTCTTTGCAACAGCGTCACTTCCTAAATATACATGATCCAAAATTCTCGAGCATTCCTTATCAAAGAACGCGAGCTTATCTTTCTTGAATTCAAATTCTCTAGGAGGGTTTTCTGAATTTGAATTTCCGCGGTGAGTCGTTGATCCAAGCCGTGCACCAGGAGTAGTAGGGGGATTCGCCCATATGCCAATATCATCCGAGCCAGCCCTCGGCCATTCCTCCCCGCTAGGCCTAGTAACCGAAAGAGGCTGAAGGGGAGGCAAACAAGCCCGAGCCTTGCTGTTCCATCGTGGCCTAGGATTTGTCTTTCCAGGTGATCGGTCACTCCACGAAACCGACCGTAAGTACGTTTTCCAACTTCCTCCGCCAGGTCCATCTTTATTCTCTTCCCCTAACATCACAACAGTTAAAACTTCCTCTGTTTAAAATCAATCATACGCATTTGAGGACTATTCTAAACATCAAAACCGATATTTCCAAGAAACCCACCCATATAAGCATAAAAACTAAAAATTAAATCCAGGCACATAAATATCAATTTTTACAAATTTCAGAGATACCCACTTGAGGATTCTTCAAGGAATACCCTCAAAAACAATCAATTTCATGACTAGTCTTCAAACATATATAATAACCACCATTCAAAATATTCTGCTTTTTTTCCCACCGAAAACCCTTGACCATAAAGATTCTTAAAGAAGAGGAGAAATCAAAAATCCAAATATGACCAAGTAAAACTCCTAACAAAGTATTCTGTTTCTGGGCACAAAGTTTCAACACAAACAACCAGAGAACATAGAAAATTTTAAGAGAGATACTTAAAAGGAAATAATATAATAGAATTTCTGTTTTCGCAGCTTGATTTTGATTATTACAACGAATACAGATTCTACTGCATCGAGACTACGTATGATCATTTCCGAAAGACAGCCAATTCAAAGGGTCCCTCCAATGAGAGAGCGTGTGTGTGTGTCAATAGAGAGGAAAGTATAGAGAGAGTTAATTTCATAAGTGGTCATTAAAGTGCAAGAGAAATTTGAAATTGGTTATCAAAGTATTTTTGTGACATGTTAAAGTTATACACAATCAACTACTCCTTTAACGGCAAGTATACTAGATTCGATAAAGACCCGATAAACCTCGAATTCGTCTAGCAATCATTTTATCCATATCGTGATATTACTTATCTTAAGAGTAAAATGCAATTCTTAAAGGAAAGATATTTTATTACTCATTTAAAGACATGTATGCTGGATTCGATATCAACCTGTTAAACATCGAATTTGTCTAGCAATCATTGTATCCACATCGTGATATTACTTATCTTCGAAATATAATGCAATTTTTAAAAGAAAAGAACTTTTGTTAAAAAGTTCAAATCTCCCTCTTTTATATCTAACTCGATTTTAACCATAAATAAAACGTAAAATATCACCACAAACCTAAAATAAAAGGCAAGATAAAAATAAAGTGCTTGCTTTAAAGGCCATTAGTTCACTTGAACGACTCCTACGTCGGATATGACTTTAATCAGGTTAACGGATTGATGATTATGTAATATTATTTAACTTTAGTGACTAAATGAGTCACAAGAATAATTTAATAACCAATTTGAAATTTTTCTTGAACTCAAGTGACTATTATTGAATTTATACATGTAGAGGTAGAGACTCACGTAAGCCAACAGAAAATGAAAACGACAAGTTGGCCATTTTTGTTGACCAGGAACAGAACTGGTCAAACTTAACACGTCTCCACGGTATGAATTCTAATTATTTAAGAATTGATTATTCATTTTAATTTAGTTTAATTTTTGCTTGGTGAGTGTTTCTTGTTTGAATAAAGTGGCATGCAATGAGACTTTGATTTATGAATTAATTATAATATTAGGAATATGGTTGTTTATATTTTATTTTGAGTTTATGCAAAATTAGTTTGAAATTTTCATACAACTTACTAATAGACTGTTCGACAAATTCTTTTATAAAAATTTTAATAGATTTTGACAAAAATTGATTATTTTTGTAGTTAATAAATTGTGAGTTCCAAAAGTGAGTGACTAAAATTAATTGTTGACTTTAATTTCAATTTTTTAGTTACTCCAAACAAGTACTAGATAAGATAAATCTTCGCGCAATGAAACTAACAAGTGAAATTCACTTTTGTGTATACGGTTTTACAAAACAAACGCAACTTGTTTTTAAAGATAATAATGGTAAAATTGATCAAAAAAAAAAAAAGAATAAAAATAAAAATTTAAGACATCATGTGTGTCACATTTGTGACTTTTAGCCCCTCTTTGACTCTCATTTTGTGGAAATGAAATGGGTCGAATAATATTTTTCTAAAAAATAGATGGCTGAAAAAGAAGGAAAAATTTTCGATTTATGTGTAATATTATTTTATGGAAGATTATTTGGTTGAAAATATATAATTTGGATCAAACGGGGCTTTAGCATAAAATTTTGAAATGATGTCTAACTAAAAGGGAAAAATTGTTTGAAAAAGATTTGACTATTCAAATTATTGTGAGCCCATGTTTGGTTTAGATAAAAATTGATTTTTAGTAGATTTTGATTAAAAAAAACAATAAATTGTATAGTTAAAAAATTAATACAAGTTGTGAGTCTCATAATATATGTGATTAAAAATGAGTTTTAGAAAATAAGGGCCAAAGGTTGATTAATCCCCTGTTTGAGCCCCAATCTTGTAAAAAAAAATGCATTTTTGAATAATGCGTTGATATGAAATGTGTAGTTAAAAAGAAAGAAAATCTTTGAATTTGCGTGTGATATTATTTTATTGGAGCATGTGTGGTTAAAGTGGTGTCAAATCACTGTTAAAAAATATAATTTTATGAAAAAATGGAGCTCAAACAAGGCTTAAATTTTGCTTCTTTTTTTTTTTTTTTTTTTGGATACCTAGGTGTCCACCTTACAGCGACTAATCCTGGGGTTTACGATCCAACCCCTCTTCACGCAGACTAGGTAAATCGTGGGTTGTGCCTCAAACTGGCCAAAGTCCAAGAGCCCCTCCAACTGAACTGTCAAAGTGTCGAGCGAGTCAAATCTATGTATGCGCCTTGTCTTCTAAGGAACTCCTGCCTTTCAGGATAAAACCTTGCCTTCCAAGAGCCCCATGAATCGAACCCGCGACCTCTGAACTGCCCGCCTTGAAGAACGGCCCTTATATTCTATTAATAGCCACCTCCCTTAAGGAAATAGGACTTTTAGTTCTTATGCTTAGTCAATTTTGTTCAATATTATCTAGTACGATTTGTGAAATAGGTTACAAAAATTCTTTACAAAGATTTTCATGTGAAGAATATGTTTGATTATTTTATCATTCTAATTTTATTATTGTAGTTATAATATAATCGAAATCGAGACTTATATATAGTAAATATTCAAGAAAAGCAAAGTGGGCGCAAAAAATGAAGCGAAAATATTTTCTTCTATACACATATGGTCCCTTCTAATATTATAGATCATGACTTTCATTTCATGGGGATACATTAAAAGTGTAGGGATAATAATCAAAGTCTATGGTTTAAGTACTAAACTACAATTTTCAAAATTTCTTTACAAGAAACGAGTTAGTACAGCTATTAGTAGAAGTA